GTTCGACCAGTGGGTCAGCTCAGGAGCAGTTCAAATCGGGAACGAGAGGAACAGGTCGCCAGCCGGCGAGCTGCAGAGCAGGGGGCGGCGAGCAGAGGCCAAAGTGGCCCCGTCGCTACCCACTGACGTTGGCAAGACTCGCTAGGTAGTGAGGCGCCACCGAGTGTGATTTTAAAAGAGCTGAAAGAAAGAGTATTGCTGAAAGTTTATTCTACATTGAGTCCAGCTGCACAGCGACCGACGCACCAAGCAAGAGCTTCTGCAAACCAGAGCAAGAGCACGTGTGACTTGAGTCATCCAGCAGTGGAGAAAAACCTGCTTTCAGCAAACCAGCAACGTGCACCTTCGAGTTCTCCACCCAGAGAGAGGGAGCGTGCCGATGCAGCTCATCCAGCAGCGGAGAGAAACTGCTGTCAGCGAACCAGCACGAGCGTGATCGCGCAGCTCATCCAGCAGTAGAGAGAGGTGGCCACTGAGCAGCACTGAGAGCGATCAAGCAACTCTCCCCCGTGGACAGAGGCTGGCTGCTGTGTGGAGGAGGGAACGCCGATACGTATGATGCACAACCCCCACTCACCCTGACCGCTCTAAAGGGAGCGAGTATCCCTTTCATACCAGGGACACGTCGACGTATGTTAACGCGGGAAGACCAACCACACTCACATTACCCTATAAAGAGAATTCCACGATACGATGATGCGCTATGCCCCACTACACGACCAATCTGACGTTCGCTGGACCTAAAGACTCAACTCCAAACAATGACTACTCCACACAATTCATGACACACAAACACACTCAAGTCCGTGAACCATCTGGCCGTGGAAGCATCGATCGTGTGATAACAGTCCGTCGTTTATAAGTACATTCGTAATTTTCCTCTTTAATATTTTGTTTTGGACTGTACTTCTAATCGCATAAGTTACCAACCGATCCATCAATACGAATTAACCCTTGGCACCTTCGCCACGGAGCTACGCTCCCGGGGAGGAATCGTGCTAAACCGATTTTCTGATCATACAATCTTATTCACGAATTAATTAATCTCCCGTGAGATAACACGTTCCGCCGCACACCCTCACACATAAGCCATTTCGGTAATCTTACATTCTGTCCGGTGGATCTGTTGTTACATTCATGCCTTTGGAAATAATAACTGTTTGATTGTCTTTTTATATGAATACCGTTGCATGTTAATCAATCGCCTGTGATAATGTGCTGACCATTTCAAGCATAATGATCGTTCATATTATAATGTATAAGTTCCGAGATTGAGAGTCACATACATAGAAAATAAATTGATTAATACAGAAGTGGTCGTGTGATTCTTTCCTGAATTTTTGCATAAGATCTGTATCCTGCGATGAGATATGAACTCGGGAACCTAAAATATAAACACACCAATCCACACTCATTAAACTAAAGCGAATGATATGAACTTGGGACCTAAAATATGAACACTCGGGGAGTGTTAAAGCGAGAATCATTGTATTATGCTGATCAATAATACGAAGTTAGACAACGAGGCCGAATTGACACTAGCGTAACTGCACATGATTGATTGCGTTATCCTGATTGTTAACCCCACCTCGTCAACGAGGTGGGGCCTGATTATCATAAAGGTTATCATTAACACAACCACACCCACTCGTATAAATTAATACGATTACCTCTCTAATTAGCATAGTTATACACATAATTACACGAATTAACATAATTTCGTATTAATTATGCACATTTCGGATTTCATTTAATTTTCATTATTTTTCATCAATTTTCACACACCCACATATACACCCCCCCCCCCTCGTCACAAATGTCTGATCCCCCCCCCCCCCCCAGGGGCATGACTCTGCAGGCTGTGCCTGAACCGCAGCTGAGGTGCAGCTGTTGCCGGCTGCTGCTGCCGTTGCAGAACCCTCGGCCAAGGCGGGGGGGAGGGGGCTCTCGCAGGGCCGGGACACGGGGTCCGCTCTGGTGCCACGTGGGGTCAGAGCGGCCACGCACAGCCGATGGTCATTCAAGCAGCGAGGCTGACCGTGGGAAGGGGGCTGACGGGGGGACTCATCCTTAAATGAGAACATTAGCACTGGCCATCTCAGCCGGTCCTCTGTCGGCCCCTAGCGTTTGGGGAATGTTAAACAAATGTCTGCCCGTATCTGTGTCCCATAGAAATGTCCACAAAGCACCTATCCTTTGCGTATTATCTTAAAACATCAGCAGTTCCTGGATACCTGCATTGTGGTCCTCTTGTCTGAAGTCAACATCAAAATATGTTTGAGCAGATGTGACCGACAGCAGCGGTGATACAGTGATATACAACTGTGGGCCTATAACAATAGGTTTTTACCCTTTCTGACAATAAAACAGTTGTGTCAAGATGTTAAAGCACCATACATAATCCTTTTTCAAGGAATCCCGTCTACATTAACCACACGTACTTGTGGTGATCATGCAATGTATGCATTGGCTTTGAAACTGTTTAATCCACACCACAACTATCTCTGGTATGGACCAATCAGTTTCAAAGACAATGAATACATAATTATCAGAGCATGTCTTTGTTTTGTTTGCATGATCACCACAAGTACGTGTGGTTAATATAGACGGGATTCCTTGAAAAGGGATTCTGTTTGGTGTTTTAACATCTTGACACAACTAACTGTTTTATTGCCAGAAAGGGTAAAACCTACTCTTATATATTGATACTGGCAAGAAAGGTCCCATATTGTAACTGTGGGCCTGTTTCATCTCCATCAGAATTCATCAGCACACGATAGTCACCAATAATCATTGCTGCAGAGTCTGCCTCTGGCATAACCGTATAAGCGGAGTCCTCACGTCCACGCTATGGGGGCCATTAGCTCGGCTCATGCCCAACGACGCTCACACCTCGCCGTGTCACTTCATTGCCGCTTACAATTCGTTGATTTTCTGGCCTATAATAGTTTCCCCATAATTTACCAATTTCATCTCTCCCGCGTGTTTTCTTTCAAATTAATGTACGATTGGTTCGCCGTGAATCAACCAGGCTGTTTGGTAATTGTCGAGTCCGTGCCAGCTCTTGCGAGTCGCAGGCTTCAGAAGCCATCAACACTCCTTGCTCCTCCATCCAACAAATAAAGCCAACATGTGAAGTGATTGTTGCACAAGGGTTTCCGACAACCCACCCTGGGTTGACACTGCTGACCGTTTTCCATTGGCACATCCGAGCCGAGCCATCAGAGGGCCTCATCGTGGGTTTCCACTGGCTGTTTGCCGTGCCAAAACCAAAGCAACCCGTGATACGCTGGCCTCGCAAGACACGTGAATCTGGCTCGGGGTCAAGAAAGTTCAGTGACGGGATTAATGACACGTTCATTGCATGCGACGTCAGTCATTACACTGAGGATAATTTCACCACGTTATCTACATTAGCCTCGACTCGTTCATTCAAGGAACTGGCTCCTTTAAGTTATTGTTGTCAAGTTGGCTCGGCAAGGCCCCAGCACAGCTCTAGCATGGCTCTGCTGTACAGTGGGGAAAAAAAGCATGGATGAACAATACCGGAAAGCCACTTACGGTATTCCCAATATGCTCCAGGCCTCTAACACTCCAACTAAAACCCCGGGGTGGACTTTATTATATTGATGACTCTGGGCATTGACATCCTACAGTCCATCTGGAAAATCCACACCGGGTTTTAGGTTATCGGAGCAGCTTCAGGTTCCACTCTGGGGGCATGTAATCCGACATGGGCCTTGACATTCCAAGCTCCACGATAAAATACACTTTCGGCCTCAATACATTATATTCTCCAGGCTATAAGGCCAACCTGGGCTGTGAGACTCCACATTCCGTGCCTGTAGGCCACACCGGATATTGGGGTATAATTACGTCTACACTCCAATAAAGGGGTCCGCTAACCTGACTCTAAATATGACATGCCATGCTCCTTTAAGTTAACGAATTGTTGCCGCTCCAGTCCCAGTCCGCGGAATCCAGTCTGCTGTCATTCCATGCACCCCCCTTTATTTCTAACTACGTGACTTTACCGAAAGAACCAAAGAATATGGATCCCTGCACTCACGAAAACTTCAAATCTAGATTCTCCCCCCTTGGGTTTAACTGCTACACTATATGCTCCAGGCCATCCTCCTTGGTGATAATCCGCTCCTGGATTTCACACTGTTATCTCTTCTCCAGTCTATATATAATCCGGGATTAACACTTCATTTACCATCATTGTAAAGGATAATCCACTCCTAGTTTAAACACCATATGCTACAGGCTATTATTGGGTTTTAACACTCCACAATCTATACTCCACCCTGAAGCTCTACGCCTGGTTTTATATTTGTGTAATTATTGAATCTTCATGCCTGGGTCCACGAACGGCCAAGGCTGTAAACGTTCCAGGATCCATGCGCGATAAATACGCTCCGGGATCGAAACGCGACGAATCCGCTCTGGGCTCCAGACTCTGGAAATCAGCTCCGGGCTCCAGATTTTTAAAATCTGCTCCGGGCTCCATATTCTAGGAATGCGCTCCGGGCTTCAGACTCTGGGAATTTGCTCCGTGCACCAGGCTCTGGGAATCCGCTCCAGGATACACGCGCTGGGGATCCGTTCCGGGATCAGGCTCTGGGAGTTTGCTCCGGGCTCCAGGCTCTGGGAATCCGCTCCAGGATACACGCGCTGGGGATCCGCTCCGGGATCAGGCTCTGGGAGTTTGCTCGTGCACCAGGCTCTGGGAATCCGCTCCAGGATACACGCGCTGGGGATCCGCTCCGGGATCAGGCTCTGGGAATTTGCTCCGTGCTCCAGGCTCTGGGAATCCGCTCCAGGATACACGCGCTGGGGATCCGCTCCGGGATCAGGCTCTGGGAGTTTGCTCCGTGCACCAGGCTCTGGGAATCCGCTCCAGGATACACGCGCTGGGGATCCGCTCCGGGATCAGGCTCTGGGAAATTGCTCCGTGCTCCAGGCTCTGGGAATCCGCTCCAGGATACACGCGCTGGGGATCCGCTCCGGGATCAGGCTCTGCCCACGCGGTCGCGTCGCTTTTGTGCATGAAGGAGTCGGGTGGATGAGACAGCGGGTCCCGGAGACACAAAGACACGGGGACAAGGAGACTCAGGGACACAGAGACACGAGGGCGAGCGAGAGGTATCGTCATCCCCATCAGCATCATCACATGTCGTACACCCCTTCATCGTCAACCGGCTGCTCGGCGTCCTCGCTGGGATGACACCCGCGATGCCTGGGCGAGTGTGAGTGGCCGATGAGTGGGGTGATGGTGATGATGGTGATGTGTGGGTGAGGGTTCGCTAGTGAGGTGTTGTCTTTGCTATTGGATGAATGCGGCTGAATTTGCTGTAATTGCACTCCCAAGAAGGCCGTGGTGCCGATGGGTGGACTTGTTATTTTGTTTATGTGGATGTGTTGATGGGGACGGGTTGGCCTGTCTGCTGATCCATGTTGTTATTTTGTTTATGTGGATGTGTTGATGGGGACGGGTTGGCTTGTCTGCTGATCCATGTTGATATTTTAAGGATGAGGGTGGTGACATGTGGGTGAGCGTGCACGCTAGACGATGGTGTTGTTGTTGTGATGGCGAGGAGGATGGGGTTGAGTGGCATTCTGGTTGGAGCGCTGGCGTGAGCCCCGGTGTGAGGGGATGTGACGAGGTGGGTCTCGGTGTGAGGGGGTGTGACGAGGGGGGTCCCGGTGTGAGGGGTTGTGACGAGGTGGGTCCCGGTGTGAGGGGATGTGACGTGGGGGGTCCCGGTGTGAGGGGTTGTGACGAGGTGGGTCCCGGTGTGAGGGGGTGTGACGTGGGGGGTCCCGGTGTGAGGGGTTGTGACGAGGTGGGTCCCGGTGTGAGGGGGTGTGACGAGGGGGGTCCCGGTGTGAGGGGTTGTGACGAGGTGGGTCCCCGTGTGAGGGGTTGTGACGAGGTGGGTCCCCGTGTGAGGGGTTGTGACGAGGTGGGTCCCCGTGTGAGGGGTTGTGACGAGGTGGGTCCCCGTGTGAGGGGTTGTGACGAGGGGGGTCCCGGTGTGAGGGGTTGTGACGAGGGGGGTCCCGGTGTGAGGGGTTGTGACGAGGTGGGTCCCGGTGTGAGGGGGTGTGACGAGGTGGGTCCCGGTGTGAGGGGGTGTGACGAGGGGGGTCCCGGTGTGAGGGGTTGTGACGAGGTGGGTCCCGGTGTGAGGGGATGTGACGAGGGGGGTCCCGGTGTGAGGGGTTGTGACGAGGTGGGTCCCGGTGTGAGGGGGTGTGACGAGGGGGGTCCCGGTGTGAGGGGTTGTGACGAGGTGGGTCCCGGTGTGAGGGGGTGTGACGAGGGGGGTCCCGGTGTGAGGGGTTGTGACGAGGTGGGTCCCGGTGTGGAGATGTGATGGTGTGATGGTGTGAGTGTTGGGGTGATGTTGTAGTGTGAGTGATGTTGTAGTGTGAGGTGGAGATGTGATTCTGTGATGGTGTGAGTGTTGGGTGATGGTGTGAGTTTTGGGGTGATGTTGTGTGAGGTGGAGATGTGATGGTGTGAGGGTGAGTGATGTAGTAGTGTGAGGTGGAGCTGTGATGGTGTGAGTGTTGGGGTGATGTTGTAGTGTGAGTTGGAAATGTGATGGTGTGATGGTGTGAGTGTTGGGTGATGGTGTGAGTGTTGGGTGATGGTGTGAGGTGGAGGTGTGATGATGTGAGTGTTGGGGTGATGGTGTAGTGTGAGGTGGAGATGTGATGGTGTGAGTGTTGGGTGATGTTGTAGTGTGAGGTGGAGATGTGATGGTGTGAGTGTTGGGTGATGGTGTGAGTGTTGGGTGATGGTGTGAGTGTGGGTGATGGTGTGAGTGTGGGTTATGTTGTGAGTGTTGGGGTGATGGTGTGAGTGTTGGGTGATGGTGTGAGTGTTGGGTGATGGGGTGAGTGTTGGGTGATGGTGTGAGGTGGAGATGTGATGGTGTGAGTGTTGGGTGATGGTGTGAGTGTGTGGTGATGGTGTGTGTTGGGTGTTAGTGTAATGGTGTGAGTGTTGGGTCATGGTGTGAGTGTTGGGGTCATGGTGTGAGTGTTGGGTGATGGTGTGAGTGTGTGGTGATGGTGTGAGTGTTGGGGTGATGGTTTGAGTGTTGGGTGATGGTGTGAGTGTGGGTGATGTTGTGAGTGTTGGGGTGATGGTGTGAGTGTGTGGTGATGGTGTGAGTGTTGGGTGATGGTGTGAGTGTTGGGTGATGGTGTGAGTGTTGGGTGATGGTGCTAGTGTTCGGTGATGGTGTGAGTGTTGGAGTGATGGTGTGAGTGTTAGGGTGATGGTGTGAGTGTTGGGTGATGGTGTGAGTGTGTGGTGTGAGTGTTGGGTGATGGTGTGAGTGTTGGGTCATGATGTGAGTGTTGGGGTGATGGTGTGAGTGTTGGGTGATGGTGTGCGTGTTGGGGTGATGGTGTGAGTGCTGTTTAACGTGTCCCGGACTTCCAGGAGAAAGGTGATTGTCTCGGTGGGTCTCTACAGTATGGAGGTCCGGGTGAGTGACAGTGAGATGACTTGTGAGGGACCGTGTGAGAGGGTGAGGATTTCAGGTTTAGAGTGAGGGGTTTGAGGATGAGTCGTGATGGTGAGCGGATTTGAGGGTGAGGTGGAAAGCGTGAGGATTCCGGTTGAACGGTGAGGTGAGGAGGGTAAGGGTTTAAAGGTGAGGGGATAACGTATATAAGAAGTGAGGGTTTGAGAGTGAGGGGAAGGATTTGAGGGTGAGGTGAGCAACGGGAGAGGATTTTCGGATGTGGATTCGAGGGCGTTGTGATGATGGCGAGGAGGGAGTGAGCGGCGAGGGCCTGTAGGTGAATGGGGTGTGTCAGGGCTATCGTAGTTCTCACCCCAGCAGTGAACTTCATGATATTCGAGGTTGCCGTTTCATTCAATATTCAAGTTTGTGTGTGTCTCTTTTTGACGTCATTGCTATGTGTTGTGTATCTGTTAGTTTTCTGTCTTGTCAGTATCCTTTAATTTGCCCCAATTAGCCTGAACGTATTATTAGCATACAATTAACACATTATTAGCATGATTCGTTGATTTTTACATGCACGTTTCAAGTATCATTAGCCTTAAGCAATATTCATCAAAGACTCTACGCATCGCGACGTCCCTGGCATGAGATATGAGGGTGGGGGGTGAGGGTGGGAGAATGTTGGTCATGTTTGTTAGTGTGATAGACTTTGAGTGTTAGAATGGGGTGAGGGTGAAGGTGAGGGTGAGCGAGGGTGAGTGTGTGAACTTGACAGCAATTACAGCGGGCGACGAGAGATTCATGGAACGTAAAACTGCAGTCGTGCAATATCACCACAGCCTCCTGGCAAGTGGACAAAATGAGAGAGACATCGCTGCCTCACTGGCCCATAACGGTATCATCAACCGTGATGAATCCACTGCTGGTACTACCTCGATATCCCGAAACCTCTTAACCACATCGCCCCCGCGTTGTCTCATGAGCTCGTGAACTCAGAGGGCCTTGTGGCCGCACCCCCCGCTCGCCTCGTGGTGCGCGCGGCGCGTGCCCGGCTTTGCCGTCACCTCGTTGCAAAAGCAAACGCCGCGTTCCGAAAACACCACACGTAATCCTCTTTGCGCGTGAGCGATGGTCGTCACCTGCGTTCCCATGCCCGTTTTTGAGGCTGTTGACGCGCGCCGTGAGGACAAACCGGCATCGCTCCGTGTCGGGCGCCGCGTGGAGGGCCCCACCGCCGGCTACTTTGCCGTGGCCTCGAGAAAGGATCAGTGACTCGCCCAAAGATGGAGTCGTTCAGGTTAGCGAGACGGCCATTTGCGGAGCAACGAGGTACTGCCCGTGGGAAACTAAGGAGCGAGTGGGCTCGGTGGTCTGTGGTCTTCTGTGGAGACGCTGGGTCTTGCCATGGGAGTGTGGTATTTCCACTACTGGCTCGGGCCACCAGTGGAGTGAGGGATGCCCCCTATGCTTGTTTGAGCAGCGAGGTACTGTACGAACTTAATCTGCTTACAGGCTGGCCCATATTTGTGTCCATGTATGGTTGGGATGTTTTTTCTCCTAGCTAACGTCCCACACTCAGATCTGTTATTTGCCTTCCCAGAGAGATGTTGAGTCCTGTTTGTCTACACGGTTATACAAATGGTTAAAGGAAACTGTGTAATCCCATCATGCGTAAGCATTATTTTCAAATTGATCCCAGTCGGGTTAGTAAACCATGTAACCATAGACCGTTGTCAAGTTTCGCTTTCAGTGAGCCTCATCAGCAATGTACGGCTTCACAAAAGTTTGCCACTGGGGTTTTTCGGAAGTCATGTGCAAAAGTTTAAACAACCATGAACAATATGGGGCCCAAAATGTTTATTTTCAGTGTTGTGTAGACAGTTTTCAAATAAAGTCTCTCTGCTGATTTAATTGCGTGGTTGTTATATTCTGAACAACAAAAAAGGCGCCAGTCTTTAGCACAGCTGGTGCAGGAAGAGACGGTTGTAATTTAATCGCACAAATCCAGGAACGTTTTTCAAATTTAGAGTTAAGGCTGCGGCGTTGGCACAACATGGCCAGCTTTTGTGAGTGACGATAACAATGTTAACTGAAAACGATGCAAAGCTAACATGCGTCTGTTTGCTTAGCATTATCTCCGTGGCATAGCAGATGGGCCGCCTGCTATGCACGGTGGCTAGGTCGGTGACACTGTCGTTTTACATTATCTCGAGTTCAGAGATCTTGCTGATTTTGGTGGTCGCTGACCGCACAGCTTCCCCACCCATTAACTGCCTGCCCAACTGCCCCTGCCTGATAACATTTTCGTATGTGCAAGCCTGGCCAATGACACACCTAATGTCGGGAACCAGTCCAGAGTTTGCTTATGTTGAAACCACTGCTGCTAAAATCATGCGTGTCCAGAAGACCGTGTGACTGATGAGATGTGTAAAACATAGTTTCATGGTGTGTGTAGAGGGACCGAGATATGGTACAGTCAGGGGAAAAAAGTATTTGATCCCCTGCTGATTTTGTACGTTTGCCCATTGACAAAGAAATGAGCAGTCTATAATTTTAATGGTAGGTTTATTTGAACAGTGAGAAACAGAATAGCAACAAAATCCAGAAAAACGCATGTCAAAAATGTTATAAATTGATTTGCATTTTAATGAGGGAAAT